GGGGGGGGGGGGGGTGGAAGAGGATTTGAGTACATTTTCGCTAGGAGTTGTGTAACTGTATTTTGTTATTAGTATGTTTAGGATTTCTGGACACGTCTATTTTATTCTGAACACTAATGTTATGGCTTATGCATTTTCACTGTCATACCTAAACATCCAATAAATGCTAACAATACTGAATCTTTTCACTGTTTGTTTTGTTACTTGAAACATTCAACACATCAACTCTGTAGGGGCTAGAAAAATGGGTGTTCTAGACACTTAAGGCTTGTTCTGTGTCTATAACGCTGGGGGGCTATTCGCCAAACTGATAACGTAGAGAGTATAGTATATGGGATTTTAAAAAAAGGAACTAACTTTAACAACAAAACTTAATTTTTTTTTTAAAAAGACCCAAAAAAAAAAAATTTAAGCCAAAAGCCTTCTGCTGATATCAGCAAATGATAACAAATAAAATGAAATTAAAATGTGTTTTTCTCCTTAAGTAAAAACAGCTTTTCTTAGATCGAAAACAAAGTGAGAAGGGTCTTACATTTTGGTGGCGCTGTTTAGTGTTAGAACAAGCGTGTGTCTATAAACCTATAGCATCAAATTACCGATATTTTAAACAAGTTCTTTAAAGGTTTCGAGGCACACCAACACTGAAATAACTAAAAACTAGTTTTCTTAACCAGCTAACTTACATTTATGTAATTTTTTATGCCTGTGGGTCTCTCTCTTCGTCTTTTTCATGAGATAATTGATGTCATTGAACAGGGCAGTTTTCTGTGTTTCCGGTATATTTGACCTCTCCAAGTGACCTTTTGTTAGCGTTAACTCCTCCATAAATTTTTTAGCAGCTTCTTTTCTTTCATTTGTATGTAACTTTTTCACCTCTTTCAATGTTTCTCTCCCCCTATGAATCGTTCGTTCAAAAGCCTTCAGTAAACGTTCCTGTCTGATCGTGTTAAAATCTTCGTGGGTATATACTTGTAAATCTGAATCACTAATGAGCCTCAACAGTTCCTCGACTTGATCTGTGTTCTTCTCTCTGTTGTTGAATAGCCGACATCTTCCACCACATTCTTCAAACAGCTGCTTAAAATCTCCTGATTGGCTCTCGCACCACGTTTCGAAAGTCTCGCCTTGCTCTTTCTTAAAATTGTCTCCATACGTCATGACGATAACCCCACACGTCCTGAAGACGTCATCGCCAAACAAGAACTTGACATGTTCTACAGACTCCTTCTCTTGTCTTGTGAACCGGACGCCGAACTTCAACACCAGAATGATGGCCGTTAAGCGTATGTGTTGATCTGTGAACACTCGCTGCTCTATCGATGGGATAAGGGACGGATCACCAATGCCCCCTTCTCCGTTGTCACCTATTCCGGTGCCATCAAAAACCTGGATGTGTTTTCCAAATATTTCTTTGTTATGTTTTTGAATGACTTTATTACCAGTGTTATCGTGAGCGCCATGAATACTGAAAACAGGTGTGTCAAGAATTTTATTTCCCGTGGAACTTTTGCCATTGCCTGTCCGCCCAACCAGAAGGAGGTTGTATGTGTCAGGCATCTCTTAAAATCCTGTTAAAAGAAAAAAAAATACAAATTCTGTTCAACTTTCATCGCCGTTAGATGTTGATCTATATTGCTACACACACATTAGATTATTACTTAAACACTGCATGGCTTATAATAGCAAGGGGTCTCAAACATGTGGTCTGATGGGTGCATTCAGCCCAACAAGCTTTTCCCACCTTGAATGATGAACTGCATTCGTTGCGCACCTAGAACCTATGTCGTCTACATCATGAATAAACGTGTGCCTCTATCAAGATTAAGAAAAACTATCATTAAATAATCTATACTTATTGATTTATTTTTAAAAAATCAAATCAAGGCACATATCGATTACTCGTTAATCTATTAATACAAATAAAGCCATCATTCTGTTTTTACAGTTTCATTATTCTTTGTCAAGATCGATTATTTTAGCTCCCCCTCCCAACACTTGTAACGGGTGCAACGGTGCATACTTTGTCTTGCACACCCTCTATACTCCTATGAATGTATCACTAATAACATACTGCGCCCTGGTCATCGATTGCCTTTCATTATAATCATCGCGTATTTTGAGACCACGTTCGTAAAGGAAATGTCTGGGTTAAGACTACTTTACAGAATGTTTTAAAAAAAGCTTGTACCCAGACGCCCCCAAGGTTCCGACTCTGCGGCTTTGATTTAAATACGGAACCTCAACCGAATTGACACAGATTAGTGTCGGCACCTAAATAAGGACGTTGAACAATCAAAACGGAAGAATTCGTAGTTCAAAAATCATTACGCCGGACTATAGTTAATTTTCTATGTGTTGATATCTCTCCCCCCCCCCCACACACACACACATCCTGATGGAAACAAGACATAAATGATGAATCCTTACCGCTCGATCCAAAATGCTGAATGTAATTCTTAAGTCTAGAGCAGGACGGGCCTGTCATTTGATATTCTTGTCTGTCACTTGTTGCTGCTGTTCGTCACTCCTCTTCGCTGCAGCTCACTCACAACGGATGTTTTCAATCGTAGTCAGCTCAAGTCACTCTTTATGTCTTCCTCTCGCTATTGCTGTCTTTCACTCGCTGTTGCTGTCTTTCACTCGCTACTGTTGTTTTTCACCCGCTATTGTTGTCTGTTAATCGTTATTGCCCCCTGCCGTTGCTTATCACTGTACTGTTTCATTTGAGCGCAAATACCATACAGTACCAGCATTCAAGATAACAGGGTGAAGGTAACGACACTTACCGTGCTGTGCTAATGGCTTCAAGATTACCTGAAGTCACTAAATCATACAACACACATGTTCGACGTATGTCGGTATCGTACCGTGGTCACAGTTTAAAGCCGAATGCTGGAAAGTATCGATGCATCTCTTGTATCAGACCACGTGATCAAACAGTAACACATGTTTTATTTAAACAACCTCTACACACTCTGTCGAACACAACAACCTAGCCAGCTGATATGGGACAGCAGTATGACTAAGTTTTCCAGGAAATCCAACAGCTGTCATGTTCTCCCGGGGTTAGCAGATCTGGGGCTATATTTAGCTATGCCTCAACCAACATTTTGTTCTTCTCTAAGCACAATTTAAAAAAAAATATATTTTATTGCAATAAATAATTGCAACTTATTTCAATATATAAATAATGTCTGTTTGTGTTTAATATTTTTTTTTTTTTGGTTTTTTTATCATGATACATTTGATAGAAGAGCACTCTGTTCTTTGTTATCAGGATGTGGAGAAAACCAGCCACTTCATTTTTCCACCCATTCCAATTCAGATCAAAATTCATGATACATTGTTCTAAAAATCATTTTCTTATGTTTGAATAGATTCCGATAGTGTTCCTAAACAAATATAATGAAACAAAAAAATCCGAAACTAAAACTAAATAATTTAAGAAGACCCTTTAAAAAAAAAAATGCTTGTGACTAGTCATTAAAAAGAATCCTTCTCGACATGAAATTAAATAAGACATTTCAAGGCGAGATGGATGAATCCTTTCAGTTTATCGGAAGAATTGCCGAAACCAATTACTGCTTTCCTTAGTTGTTACATTTGTATCCTAAAAAAAATAAAAAATTATAATAACACCCCTCGAATTCTTTAGACTTAACAAGTTAGACACAATGAGAGCATTGGCTCCCTCTCCTCCGGCACTGTTGACGCTATCAGTACGGTAATGCATAAACAGAACACTGGCAACAAAAAACATACACACATATTTATAGCGGGTCCCAAGCATAATTGTCACGAAAGATTAAAAAAAAAATGTACATTCTACCTCTAATATAACAAATAATTAGAGAATATTTCATTTTATTTAAATTTTTTTTTAAATGGCGTCCTGTTCATTCGCTGAAGTTTATAAATTATGCATTTATTCTTATTATTATTATAGATTATTTCGCTAATGTTAGAGATCTGAACGGTGGCAAGAACATATTTTGAAGCATCATTTAATGGATTTTCTTTTTTTTTTTTCGGTTGAGTGGCGGGGGTCGTTTAATGTACAAATTTCATCAGTTAGAATGGGATATTTCATTTTATTTAAATTTTTTTTTAAATGGCGTCCTGTTCATTCGCTGAAGTTTATAAATTATGCATTTATTTTTATTATTTTTATAGATTTTTTCGCTAATGTTAGAGATCTGAACGGTGGCAAGAACATATTTTGAAGCATCATTTAATGGATTTTCTTTTTTTTTTTTCGGTTGAGTGGCGGGCGTCGTTTAATGTACAAATTTCATCAGTCAGAATGGGACCAGCGTGTTTCTTGGCCTGTGAACCAACTGCATAGCTTTACAGGAGAGATTTAACATAAGTAAATGTGGCAATTACAGAAGTGGGCTCTAACGACACTGGACTGCTGGTTTCTATGTGTAGGGATAATTCGGTTTTGATATATATAAATTGGTAATAGTCTTAAATTTAAATACCTATTAGTGAATAAATAAGATTCAACAAAAAAGTTAAAATTTGTAAAATCTGTTTGAACAATGCTAAAAAAAAAAGAGACATTTTCATTAGATTAGATTCGTATTATTGCATGATCCGTATGAATATTGTGTATGGAAAACATAAAAGAATTTCTACTTTAATGCATCTCATAACTTGCTTGTCCTAGTAAATTATAGCTCTTGTCTTGTTTGTAAGCCACACTCATCTCCCACTCTTCTACGTGTGAACCACACTCATCTCCCACTCTTCTTTCTGTGAACCACTCTCATCTCCCACTCTTCTGCCTGTGAACTACTCTCATCTCCCACTCCTCTGCCTGTGAACCCCTCTCATCTCCCACTCTTATGTCTGTAAACCACACTCATTTCCCACTCTCCTATTGAGTGTACACCACTCTCATCTCCCGCTCTTCTGTTGATTGTAGACCAAACTCAACTCAACATATTCTGTTATGTGTACACTCCGCTCATCTCCCACTCTAGTGTTGTTGCGTGGTTTAATGCAGCACAGGTTTTGGAGCCAATAACCGATTTGTGTGGGACCTGAAATTAATAGGCATGTTTCTCAAATGTTGCTGTATTTATTGGTGATGCTTCGGTCTTAGACCAGATACTGTATTAGGGTGTGTTACATGATATGCTCTTTTAGTGAGTGCTAAATTCAGGGGGATATGATGCTTTTGTGAGTGATAAATTCAGAGCAATATGTTCTTTTAATGAGTTTGTTCTTAATTTCGGTGCCTTGTTATTGTTAATAAGTTTAGAGAGTATGTATAATGATATATTAATGGCAATAGTCATTAATTGTGTTTTTACTAAATGTATAAAAATAACTGTCTCTTGCCATTCCAGTCGATGATGTTTAAAATGGCTGTTTGAAAAACTACTGTTTAAAAATTTTCAAAACTAGGCGAGTACTGGCTGACATCCACTGAGTAAAGAAGAAAAAACGGTAAAACCTAGCTGGAATCTTCTTATTTAAGACAATGGACACTAGGTGAGACCTGGCTGAAAGCTAGTGGTCTAAGAAATTGGCATACAGCTAGGTTATAAATGGCAGTTTTAGTATCCAATAATCTAAATTCTAAATTCTGAACTATTGGGCTAACAAGTCATCTACGAATTAAAAACCTATGACATGACATACAGGTTCTGATTGCATGAAAGCTAATTTTAAAAACGCGCCATGAGTAAGTTCAATAAATATGGCGTTGAAATACATCAACTTACATCTTCTCCCATTCAGACCAGGATGTGTTCCATTCTTAGTGACCCCTTTATTCGTCAAGCCTTTGTCGTTCAATATGTGATGTTCTTCTCCACCGAGTCCATCGTCCTCTACTCTGATGTCGAAATATCGTTTCTTGTACGGACATTGAATTTTGTCCACCAAGACAAACAGCCTGTCGACTTGATCCTGTGTCCGGTTCCGGTTGTTGAACAGCACGCACCTGTGGTCGCACTCCTCCAGAAGTCTCTTAAATTCTCCCCTCCGGTCTCGGCACCAGGTTTCAAAGGACGTAGCGTTGTCTTTTTCAAAGTTGTCTCCGTACGTCATGACGATGACGCCCCATCTCCTCATGACGTCATCTCCGAGCAATCCCTTGATGGCCTGCACCTGCACCCTCTCCTGTTTGGTGAAGGTCACCCCGAACTTCAGCACCAGGACGACGGCCGTGAGTTCAGTGACGTGGCTCCACAGGTTCTCATTCATGCGTGCTATAAGGGATTCTTTATCCAGCTGGGCATCTTTCCCCGCGTCCCCTATCCCCGTTCCGTCAACGACGTGGATCAGCCGGTTCCGCTCATCGTCCCGGACTGTGCCGTATTTCATGATGTCATCCCTGCTCACCCTGCAGGCGGCCCTGGGACTGAATTCGGGTCTACCGAGAATCGTGTTACCTGTGGAGCTTTTACCATTTCCTATCCGACCTACGAGAAGGAGATTGTATTCATGCACCATTTCGGAACTGATCCACCTAGCAATGTGTACTGTGTACACATCATCTCCAGCACACTCGAAGAAAGTGGGCGGACTAGCAATAAGATTCAACCATTTGGTTCATTTCAATATCTTTGTTATCTCTGAAGTGAATTTGAAATAGTTTAAGTTTAGATTTTCAGGACGCTCTCGTCGATAACAAACGATTTGACCATCGCTATCTATGTTCAATGAAATATAGCGATTTTATCTGAGTTAAGTCTATGTCAGTATTGTAGAGTATGACACGCAAGGACTCTGCTGGCCAAAAGACTATACAAAAGAATTTAAACTAAATGTAATTCATTTTTTCACATAATGATTGGCCAGCAAATTATCCCGTCTGTCTCGTCATTCGACACAGTGTAAATGTTTAACTCAGTGTTGGTAAAATTATTTGACAGATTATGCATCTTGGACTCTGTGTTGCTAAAATCATTCGAAAAATTATGAATCATTGACTCAGTTTTGGTAAAATCATTCGACAGATTAGGCATCTTTGACTAAGTGTTGATCTAATCCTTCGACACAGTATAAATCATTGACTCAGAGTTAACTTTGCTGGTCGCAATCTAGAATTTTTTTTTTATGAAATACCCTATGTAGTATATGATTAAGGGTCAATTTTTTTTTCGCAGAATATTACATTACAAACAGCGAAGATAAGTAAACAGATGAAATTTATGTACACAAGTTGAACTCTAGCTCTGTGACGAGTCTGTGTTAACTATGTACACAGATTGAACTCGAGCTCTGTGACGAGGCTGTGTTTTATGACTTGAGATACAACTGATATGTTTAAATGTAGGAAATATGTATTTCCCTGTAACCATTCTTCGTATCCACAATTCTATGTCGTTGAAAAATTGTTGGTATATTTATTTTTTTAATTTTTTTTTGTGTTAATAACAAATATATTTTAAGACGATGATTTAAAAGACGAGAACAAAAAAAGAGGTTTTAGATTTTCTTAATAAATACATTTTTAGTCTTAGGGGTTAAAACCGGGACCTAATGGTGAGTGACTAATTTAATAACAAAGAGTTCCAAAGCTACGGCCTCTAAATCCTTTTGGTGTCGTCCTGGTTTGTGTCTCTAAATAATTTTCTGCGGATCGTCCTGGTTTGTGTCTCTAAATAATTTTCTGGGGATCGTCCTGGTTTGTGTCTCTAAATGTTTTGGTATCGTCTTGGTTTGTGTCTCTAAATAATTTTCTGGGAATCGTCCTCGTTTGTGTCTCTAAATGTTTTGGGTATCGTCCATGTTTGTCCCGAGCTTCAATAACATAATATCAAATCACATTTTGGTGCCCTTAACTAGTATGGCGCTCAGAGACATCTGTCCGCCCTGCCTTCCGCCCCAGCTACGCCCCGTCATAGCCATTTCATTACAACATTGATGTATTAAATCTCAAACCTAAACATCCTTAAAACATTCCTCCAACTGCACACTTTCAAATAATACCGACCGCGTGTGACCTTTAACCTCGTTCATCCAAGGCTTTACGGGTCATGCACTGATGACGACAATTCCGAAAGATGGATTCCGCAACACGGTGTTGTGTTAAGGGCACCCAAGGCAACGGTGTGTGTGTGTGTTAAAATTGTTGAACACGAAGCCACTAATAGATCGTTTATAAGCAGGTCCTTGGCTGATAGTTTGAAGTTGAACTTACGGTTAAGTTCATATCATAGCTGTATCTTCATGTCTTTGAATGGGGTACACATGTTTTAATCCTTTTTAAGCTTATCTGTCGTCTGACGTTGAAATTGGTTGGTAAGTGTGGCTTTGATAAGCTTGGAATGGAAATAAAAACTGTAGACGTGTAAAGATGAGATATTAATCATGTTATATTGACATGTTGTTTATATGCTACCCCATAGACAAGATTATGTTACCCTCGACAAGATCATCAGCGTCCAATAACTCCCACTGCAAATTGCTCGTATGTAACATTCACATGTGGATCAAGCGACGGCACAGCGGCTGCCACTAACATGTTGCTTTATAACGTGTAATAGGAGACGCGGTGGAGAAATCATATGCGGTGTATCGTTATCAGTGACCTTTAGGGGGTGGAGGGTCAAGATAGGACCCCATCCCCCACTTAAGTTTGAGTCTTCCCCAGCCTTTTTCCCGTGCTGTCAGTTATAACAATCTGTAACACTATAGGATACTTCTTTTTTTTTTTTGCTCAAAAAATTATCTAAATAAAAATATTAATGCAATATATTTTCTTGGATAGGGTTTTCTTTCCTCTTGATATAGAGAATGTTTTTCTGTTATATTTTATGTGTACACGTCCATTTGTGGAGATTAGTCTCTTGTGAGTAAGAGCCACAGCTTCCCCTTCCCCCTGTCCACCAAAGCCACGAAGTCTTAAATAACAGAGCATTATTGGGGCGTTGTAAACACTAGAAGAAAATAATGTCTTTTTTAAGTCCACAACATTGAACAAAACTCTTGAATGAATATAGATTTTTCAATAATTCTATTTGACACGTGTTTTTGCCGACTTGGGCAGATTAAAATAATTCCAAAACAGAGATGAGAAATTCAAGAAAACATATTTTATTTAAGTTTTACGCGTTACACTCAAGAACAAAAATTAAAAGTATTAAAAAAAAAAAATAAATACTTTCAAAACGAGTCCAAATTTCATTGAGCTCATTGTAGACGTCCTTAACCTTGAGTTCAAAGTTCACCGGATTTCAGTGACGAAATCTCTCATTTCATGAATTTCAAAATTTATTTATTAAAAAAAAGATATAATTAAATAGATTAAGTATACAACTGAGAAAATTAACATAACCACTGCCGCAAATTTTAAGACCGGATATCTGTTTAAAATGTGTACAGCATTAAACCTGCCATTGACCTTTTCCCTGGGAATGTCTGCGTGTTGTTCATACTTGGCATTGGTCAGTTTGGAGCTGACGTTCAGCTTCAGCATTCTGAGCTCATTCAGGGCAGACTGCAGCTGTCCTGTGCCCAGGTCCTTTTCCCGCACCACCGCAATGCGTTCTTCCACCATTTCAAGCAGTTGCCGTATCCTTTCGATATCAATACTCCCTTGAACATGATCTAGTTCATTGCGGACTTCATCAACGAAAGATTTCGTTATTCTCTCAATCATCGGAACTTGGTCCTGTAGTCTGAGTTTCTCGCGATTTACCGACGCTTCTTGATAGTTTCTCACTGTGTAAGGACTGTTCTTCAAGGGAATCAATTTATCCAATAAAAGATGAAGTTGTTCTTGCTTCTTACCATCATCGCTGGTCTTGTTGTTGAAGAGGACGCACCGGTAGTTACAGGATTCGAACAGAGTCTTGATGTCTCCCGTCTGCTCCCGGCACCAATCGTCAAACGTAATCTCCTCCTCCTCCGTGTCCATCTCGAAGTTGTCCCCGTGGGTCATGAGCACTACCCCCCATCTCCTGAAGACGTCATCACCAAACATGGACTTGATCATGTCGATTGCATCTTTCTCCTGTTTGGTGAACCTCACCCCGTATTTAAGGATGAGGATAAAGGCGGTAATCATTCTTCCAGACAGGTTCAACGCCAGTTCGCTGTTAGCGATGGCTCTTTCTATGCCGCCCGTCAGATCAGTCCCAGTGTCACCAATACCAGAACCATCGACAACAGTGATGTTGCCATTGCTGGCTTTGGCGGGTGTCTCTTCCACTGACTGAGCTGTGCTTGATCTGGGCGTGAAGGCGCGGCTGCCGAGAATGGAGTTGCCCGTGGAGCTTTTCCCGTTGCCAGTTCTTCCAACTAAGACTAAGGTAGACATTGTGAAGGGAAGTAACTGTGGAGAGAAAAAAGTAAAAAACAAGTAAGAACAATGAGTAATTTTAAACCGATATTAATATTTCCGGAGTCTTACAAGAGTTATCCGAGCTAACTTCGTGAAGAGACGCTCAAACTATATCTAGAGTTTTCACACTGTTGGAAAGTAACCCTGAATCATGTTATATAACACTTAAGTGAGTTGTTTACATCTCCCCAACCCTTTTCATTTCTGTGATTGCATCAGGTAACAATGAACCCGTGTATCATTGACCTTTGTAACCGGATGATTGGTGGCCGAGTGGTCTGACATCAGTCAATCTCAGGCTAGTGGACTGGACTTAAATCGGCAGAAAAGTCAAGAAAAAAACAACAACATCACCAGCATTCCCGGTGGATAACACGCGTCAACCTTAGGTCGCAACCCATCTAAGAGAGGCGAACTCTGAAATCAAACCCAGAGATGGAGTCCCCTAGGCGTTATGACATTGACTCAATGAATATTTTGACAATTCCTGCGACGTAGGAGAATGGTGAAACATACTCACACACAAGACTGACGGTAGTGGGCATCTATTGTGTTAGTTCCCAGTCGTCTTGACTTAAGTGTGCCACTGTCAAGGGCGAGAGAGTGAGTCTAGGGAGTGGCGTGAACATTTAATAATGGACACTTGTATTATTGACACTTGTACTATTGACACGTGTAGTATTGGCACGTGTAGTATTGACACGTGTAGTATTGACACCTGTAGTATTGAAACGTGTAGTATTTGAAACTTGTAGTAATGACACTTGTATTATTGACACTTGTAGTATTGGCACTTTTATTTTTTTCATTTGAATTATTGACATTTGTATTATCGAAATATGTAGTATTGCCACTTGTAGCATTCACACGTGTATGATTCACACTTGCATTAATACACTTGTATTGCTTACCCTAGTATTACTGTCACTTGTATTATTACTCGGTCAGCTCGATTTGAAAACTGTTGTTGATATCCTTATTATGAACATAATGAACATAATGCTGCATAGTGATGCCATTACCATGCAAAACAAAGAATGAGTCTTGAATAGCTATGGGTGTGTCCTATATTACACAGGGCGTGTCGTGAACAGAAAAGACATGATATGAATAAACATAGGCGTGTTAGATATAACGAAGGGTATGTCATAAACAATATTAGGTGTGTCATGTAGAGAAATGGGCGTATTCGAACAGCAAATGACCATATAATCTATTTTTATGGGCGTGGCATCAACTGCGATGGATGCATCATAATCATGAGCGGGCGTGGCTTAATTGGCAATGGGTGTTTCATCAACAGAACTGACATTCCCTGAGTTTTTCCACATGCATGTAGCAGCTAGTCACATGGGCACATGTCAAGGTAGTGAAAAATATTCAACATGCGCCTATAATGCGAGCCACTAATTTTAATTAGCATATTTGACAATAAATATCTCGCATTATCCGTGGTAATATACCTTCGTTAAAAGAAAACCTTTCTTAGGATGACCTTAAAAAATATTAGAGAACTCCAATACGTCTCCACTGCTCATCTGATTCCATCCTTTATTGATTTCACAATTTTGGGAACCCCATATAAATCGACAGAATGCGTCTAATTAATGTCTTCCAACCGGCCAACTTCTACAGAATATGATATATGCTCATGACACCCTTAGGAAGGACTGCAATGAATATAACCGGGTCTATAGGTTTCACTGACGCTAATAACTCACCACGACTCAACCTGGATGCCTTAGAATCAGAGCATATTCCAAAGTTACAAAACTGAGCTCCCCCCCTCCCTCACCCTGCCTGCAACACTTCCCATTTGCCACTAACCCTCATATTCAAGCGGTCTCGTTTCCCGTTTATTCACTGGTGATAAACTATACCTATGATGTCCAATATGATGTATATATATATATATACTTTTTTAACGAAAGCAAATTTGTCCATGACAATTATACATATCTTAAATTTTTACTTACATTTTGCGAATGGGATATGCCATAGTTTAAACATTGACAGTTAATTAAGATCTTAATAAATATCTTAGCTTCACGAAATAAAGATCATAAATCATAAGTCAGCCCTAATACAGAGCCATCCATATAGTACGAACGCACTGATGAGCGTATGGCAGGTGGGGAAAATGTGGGTATGTACATTTATCCACAAATTCTGCAATAAATATCATGAAAATCTGAACGCACATACTTGCACATATCTCTAATGTTGTAAAAATACCTTGCAATATTTTGTAGGAATGGCCGTACAAATGTTGCCTTGTGTTTCACAAGAGAGCTCGCCAGATATCGTTTGAGATTAGAAGTATCAGTAATACTAATTCAACGTTATGCTCCACGAGCATGTGACGTATTTCGTGTGGCTACGCCAGTGGTTCCTAAAATGTTTCGACTCACCGCGCCCCAGCCAAAATTTAGGTTACAACCAGGCGCCCTGTGTTAAATTCACAAGTACACTATGAGATAGTAAATACATTTAAAAAAAAAAATTAAAATAAGGGTTGGTTAAAAATAAATAGAGCTCGCATATACGCCGCTAAGCGGCATCTGGTAACTGCAAACATCAACGGGGTTCTCACGTTACTGTTTTCGCTAGGCACGCTAGACGTTACGTTGGTTTAAAAGTTGGGAAATAAAAATTATGAAAGTGGTGTAATATTTCCCGGCACCCCTATGAGAAAGGGATCACGGGGTGAAGTCTTATGAAAGGGCGCCCTTCAAGAAACAAAAAAAAGTGTTTTTTCCCTGGGGTCAGTACAAAGACGATGTCATGCGCGACTGGTCTTTTTTGAAGTACAAGGCATTTTATAATTTAATTCATCACTAAGGCCCTGTCTAAAGTAGAATTTAGCCTCCATCCTATCCCCCCCCCCCCCCCTGATGTTGGCGTGCGGGCGTGTGTCACATTCCTTCTCCCGACCCTGTCCGACTGCAAAGCGGTATCTATCTTCTGTACACAAATTTATGTTTCCCGGTTTTTTTTTTCTTCGACGGTGATGGGGTCGAATGCAGAGCATTGATAAACGTAGGGGGTTGTAAAAATTGTACGCGTGTAACGGGGGGGGGGGGGNAAGAAACAACAACCCTAAGTAAGATCTAAGTTTCCTCTTACTTAGATGATAAATACCCAATAATTAAGATCATACAATACTCTTATTACAGGTCATAAGTTGGTCAAAAATTAATATTATAAATCCTTCCCCCCCCCGCCCCACATTAAATCATAAGTTACCGATAATAAAAGTCATATTACCCTAACTAATATCAAAGGTTACCCCTAATTAAGATCATAATTTATCCCTAATAAAGATCCAACGTTACCCCTGGCTGCAAACTTCACCAAAGTACAAAAGTTATGATTAGAATTTGCCCCCCCCCCCCGGGCCCCACACTCCAGGATCACATGTTCCCAACATTTATTTTTTTTAGTGAACCAAACATTTCTCGGGAAATGTTCCTTTTCCGGGAAATTCTGGTGCACACCTTTAGAATAAAATGTTCTTGGTTATTTTTAAAAAAAATAATCTTTAAAAACCAACAAGCCACAGATTGTCACAATTTGTTTCTTTATCCCAGGACTTGTAAAACATCGTTGACTGCGCGGAACAACTAAATTCCAAGCTCTTTCTAGTACAAAAGTTATCAAACGCTTGCAAGTCACGAGCGCATTCGATTAGAAGCAAAGTGCGCTTACCAGTTGTTACGAACTGGAAACTACCAAGCTCCACATCTTCGTTGTCCAATGGGGTAATTGACTTATTTAACAAACCAATGATTCAATGACAAATGCCTCTGTATTAAATGAACAACTCCATTACTTACTACTCCATTACTCGTGCTAAACCATATCAACAACGCCCTTTGCCATTGTCCCATGGTTACTATTAGCCCAGGGTCTGCCAGGGCCGAGAGAGGGCGCCCGTGCGTCTAGTATCACCACACGGGGTGGTGAAGGTATAAATAATCTATTTGAAAGATTTATCGCGGTACAACTCTGTTAGCATTGTTACAAGGTAGAAAGCATTTCTTTGTGTGGGGTACCTGACTAGCCTCACAGTATAAGCTTAACGAGTAGGATAATCCCGTGGCTTGAAAACGATTAAGCGAACATCGAACTACTTAAAGGTCAAGCAATAACGAAAATGGGATAAAGACCAGATAGGGCCGTTGAATAATTTGGGTCGTGGGAGGGGCGAGCGGATGTATATGTTACCCCAAGGCGATGTAATATGTTACCTTAGACAAGATCATATGTTACGCCTAGACAATATCATATGTTACCCCTAGACATGATCATATGATACCCCTAGACAAGATCATATGTTACCCTTAGACAAGATCATTTGTTAAACCTAGACAAGTTCATATGTTAACCATAGAAAAAGTCATATGTTACCCCTAGACAAGTTCATATGTTAACCATAGACAAAGTCATATGCTACCCATAGAAAAAGTAATATGTTACCCCTAGACAAGGTCATATGTTACCCATAGAAAAAGTCATATGTTACCCCTAAACACGTTCATATGTTACCCATAGAAAAAGTCATATGTTACCCCTAGCATCCAATAAATCCCACCATGAATTGCCCCTATATAATATTCACATTTGCATCAAGAGGCCCACTGCGGCCACCGCACGTGGCGCAAGAATCATAGGTGGCATATTGTTTTCAATTACTAACATTCAGGGTGGGGGCAATATGGGATCCCCCCCCCCAAAACGACGTTTGTGTCCTCCACAACCTTTTCCCGTGTTGTTAGTTCTAAAAATCTGTAAAAATTATGATACCATTTTTTCGCTCAAAAAAATTAACTGGCTTAAAAGTAAAATGTTATATATCCTTGAACAGAGATGTTTTCTTTGGAAATATTGAGAGTGGTTCTCCGTTACATTTTAATAGGAATCCGTCGATGTGTGACGGTCAGTCTCTTGTCAGCAAGAGACGCATTATTGTGGGATTGGTAAAATTCGAAGAAAAGTCATTTATATATATATATATATATATATATATATAGAGAGAGAGAGAGAGAGAGCTTTAACCAATTCTATTTGACACTTGTTTTGCTGACTTTCAAAGATTTTAAAAATAACGCTTAGAAATGAAAAATAGAAGATCATCGTATTTATTTACGGTTCATATTTTACACTGATCAACAAAATGGTTTTCCATGTTTTTATTTTACAATTTCACACGTTCACAATCAGCAAAGGAAGTCAATGCTGTCTTGAACTCCATGAAAACGTCCTTGACCTTAAGTTCACACGTCACTTGATTTCGGTGATGTTATCTTTCTCTTTTACTAATTTTATGATTAAATAAATGAAATAGGTCACGAAGGCAATCGAAGTAATGACCACTGTTAGTCTGAAGACGGGATGTCTGGTTAAAGTTTGCAAAGCATTAGCACGTCCAGGTAAAGTGTCATTCCACACGTCCCTGGGAAGGTCTGTGCGTGGCTCATACTTAGCATTGGTCAGTTTGGCACTGGCGTTCATCTTCAGCATTCTGAGGTCATTCAGGGATGACTGAAGCAGTCCTGTGCCCAGGTCCTTTTCCCGCACCTGGGCAATGCGCTCTTCAACTTTTTCAACCAGTTGCTTTAACCCGTCAATATCAAACCTCCCTGCGGCATGATCCAGTTCGTTGCGGACTTCTTCAACGAAAGATTTCGTTTTTCTCTCAATCATCGCGACTTGGTCCCGTAGTCTAAGTTTCTCGCGATTGACCGACGCTTCTTGATAGTTTCTCGCTGTGTAAGGAATGTTGCTAAGCGAATTTACTTTATCCAATAAAATGTTCATTTGTTCTTGCTTCTTACCAGCATCACTGGTCTTGTTGTTGAAAAGCACGCACCTGTAGTTACAGGATTCGAACAGAGTCTTGATGTCTCCCGTCTGCTCCCGGCACCAATCGTCAAACGTAGTCTCCTCCTCCTCCGTGTCCATCTCGAAGTTGTCCCCGTGGGTCATGAGCACAACCCCCCATCTCCTGAAGACGTCATCACCAAACAAGGACTTTATCATGTCGATTGCATCTTTCTCCTGTTTGGTGAACCTCACCCCGTATTTAAGGATGAGGATGAAGGCGGTAATCATTCTTCCAGACAGGTTCAAAACCACTTCGCAGTTAGCGGTGGCTCTTTCTATGCCACCCATCAGATTAGTCCCAGTGTCACCAATACCAGAACCATCAACAACAGTGATGTGGCCTTTAGTCGCTATGGCAGGTGTCTCTTCCCTTGACTGAGCTGTGCTTGATCTGGGCTCGAAGTCGCGGCTGCCGAGAATTGAGTTGCCCGTGGAGCTTTTCCCGTTGCCAGTTCTTCCAACTAAGACAAAGGTAGACATTGTGGAGGGAAGTAACTATGGAGAAAAAAAAAGGGGGGGGGGAACTCATTAAGAATAATTAGTAAATTTAAACCGAGAGTCACATTCTCGGAGTCATACATGGTTCTTCAGAGCTAAGGTCGTGAAGAGACTTACACACTGTACTTAGAGTTTCACACTGTTGGAAAGTAACTATGAATTATGTTATATAACACTTAAGTCAGTTGTGTGCATCTCCATGCCCCTTTTATTTATGTGAGTTTGTCAGGTAATATAATGGATCCTTGTATCATTGATCTATGTAGCCTCTTGACTTGAGTCAATCTCAAGCGAGTGACCGATACTAAATCCCCAGAAAGCGTCCTGACAGTAAAAATATCACCAGCAAGCCGGGTGGATGGCACTCGTCAACCTTGGATGGCAACCCGTCTAAGAGAGTCAAACTCTGAAATCGAACCCAGAGATGGACCTCCGTTGGCGTTTTGACAATGACTTAATGAACATTTCGGCAACTCCACTGACATAGAACGCATAAGGAGAACACTGAAAAATACACACACACACACACGGTGATGGCCATTCATTGCATGTATTTCCCGTCGTCTTGATTAAATTGGGTCATTGGCAAGGACGAGAGAGTGAGTCTAGGCAGTGGCGTGAACATTTAATAATGGACACTTGTAGTATTGACATTTGTATTATTGGTATTTATAATATTGACGCTTGTGGTATCAACACTTGTTTTATTGACACTTGTAACATTGACACTTGTAGTATCGACACCTGTATTATTGACATTTGTATTATTGACATGTTTAGTCTCGACAATTGCATTATTGATACCTGTATTACTGACACCGGTATCATCCCCTGGACGGCTCCATTTGAACACTGCTGTTGATATCCTGACTATGAACTTAATGAACATGATGCCGCACAGTGATGCCATTGCCACATAGAACAATGAATGAACCTTGAATAGCTATGGGCGTATTGTATGTATACACGGGCGTCTCGTGAACAGAAACAGCCATGATATGAATAAACATGGGCGTGTAATATATATCGAAGGGTATGTCATAAACAACAATGGGTGTGTCATATAGAGCAATTCGCGTATCCAAATAGCAAATGACCAAAGTATAAAATTTAGCCCCCCCCCCCCCCCAACTGCCTGCAACATTTCCCATTTTCCACTAACCCTCATATTGAAGCGGTTCCGTTTCCCGTTTATTTACTGATGATATACTAATACAGATGATGTCCATTATATATATATATATATATAAATTCTGGGTCCACACCTCTAGCATACCATTTTCTCGGTTCTTTTTTTGTATTATTATTTTTTTTTCATACCAACCTGCCACGTATTGTTAATCTTTGTTTCTCTATGCCAGGACTTGTAAAACATAGTTGACCGCACTGAATAATTAATTTACAAGCTCTCTCTCTCGTACAAAAGCTATCACGTGCTTGCAAGTCGCGACCACATTCAATTAGAGGCACAGTGCTTTTACCAGTTGTTACGAACTGGAAATGACCAGTTCCATATCTTCGTTGTCCAATGGGGTCATTGACTTATTAAAAGAACCAATGATTCAATGACAAATGTCTCTGTATTAAATGAACAACTGCGTTACTTACTACTCCATTACACGTGCTAACCCATAAAACAAATCAACAACGCCCTTTCCCATACCCCAAATACGTCCAAAAAAAAACAACAACAACAAAGCCCAAAGCAACAGCTACAGATATACTCTCAGCACCAAACACGCAATCACAAAACACGAAGAAATTCGTAACAATGTATTTGGGTTTAAATCTATCTTTAGTCCATTTAGGTATTGCATGAAAAAAAAAATTAATTTAAAACAAACCTTACCAGACTAAACACCAGCTTCTACAATTGCATAAATGATAAATCACGGACAATTACATAAATGATAAATCACGGACAATTACATAAATGATAAATCACGGACAATTACATAAATGATAAATCACGGACAATTACATAAATGATAAATCACGGACAATTACATAAATGATAAATCACGGACAATTACATAAATGATAAATCACGGACAATTACATAAATGATAAATCACGGACAATTACATAAATGATAAATCACGGACAATTACATAAATGATAAATCACGGACAATTACATAAATGATAAATCACGGACAATTACATAAATGATAAATCACGGACAATTACATAAATGATAAATCACGGACAATTACATAAATGATAAATCACGGACAATTACATAAATGATAAATCACGGACAATTACATAACTGATAAATCACGGACAATTACATAAATGATAAATCACGGACAATTACATAAATGATAAATCACGGACAATTACATAACTGATAAATCACGGACAATTACATAAATGATAAATCACGGACAATTACATAAATGATAAATCACGGACAATTACATAAATACAAGCAAAAAACGCATATAAAGGATTTATACCAAAAGCTTTTTTTTTTTTTGAGGGGTTGTTTAAATTAATTCTTACAAGTTGTTAGAAACATTTGCTTGAAAACATTTCGTGACGGATTAAAAGCTAGAAAGACTTGTAAAGAATGAAAAGCTTATTAAATGTTAACTTTTTTTGCTACTGGCAGTTATATACAACTAGTGTTTAGCAAGCCTACTGCCCGCTAGTTATCCATTACCAGGGATATGCAGTAGAAATTTAAGCAACTAGTAGCAAAGTGACCAACCTGTTAACTGACCATACCACTGTTCATTATTCATGAGTAGAATAATAAAACTTTAACAACTATAAAAATCAACTATTTTATCGTTTAATACAGTGTCCAGCTATGACATGCAGCGGTTTCTAGATTACAGTATGGCGCGAGCGGACAGCCCAGAGTTACTGCCATGGAGGAGATGTTGTAACTTGCAACGGTAGACACGACACAGAGATAAGGGGCCACACACTTAGAGGTCAAGTGACAATTTCCAGGCGCACCTTTGTTCTGCCTACTGTGGTGTTGGTTTTTATTTTTAACCCCTAACATAAAAGCTCAGTGGCTCAGAGAGGTTGGTGTTTGCCTCAGAGAGGTTGGTGTTTGCCTCAGAGAGGTTGGTGTTTGCCTCAGAGAGGTTGGTGTTTGCCTCAGAGAGGTTGGTGTTTGCCTCAGTGAGGTTGGTGTTTGCCTCAGTGAGGCTGGTTTTTGCCTCAGAGAGGTTGGTGTTTGCCTCAGAGAGGTTGGTGTTTGCCTCAGAGAGGTTGGTGTTTGCCTCAGTGAGGTTGGTTTTTGCCTCAGTGAGGCGGGTGTTTGCCTCAGTGAGGCTGGTGTTTGCCTCTGAGAGGCTGGAAGAGGTTGGTGTTTGCCTCAGTGAGGTTGGTGTTTGCCTCAGTGAGGCTGGTTTTTGCCTCAGAGAGGTTGGTGTTTGCCTCAGAGAGGTTGGTGTTTGCCTCAGAAAGGTTGGTGTTTGCCTCAGTGAGGTTGGTTTTTGCCTCAGTGAGGCTGGTGTTTGCCTCAGTGAGGCTGGTGTTTGCCTCAGTGAGGCTGGTGTTTGCCTCAGAGAGGCTGGTGTTTGCCACAGAGAGGCTGGTGTTTGCCTGAAATGGGACATGATTTAACCTTGAATTAGATGCCAAGGCCAAACAATACCCTATCTGCAAAACGTTCCCTTGACGTAGAGGTTCTTAACCAAGGGAGACCTGCACTGTGGCAGTTTCGGTCGGCACAGGAAGAGACAGAATTTTAATGTTGTCAGTTTGTTCATTAGCAGTTGTTTTTTTTTATGGTAACGGGAAATATGTTTTGAAATCGAGATGGGGATTCGGAAAACGTTGTGAAAGTTAGAAGTGGGGGTGTGGTTAAGAGCCACTGTCATAGTGACAGCATTGTTTGTAAAATTGTTATCAGTTCAAAACTACAAAATAGACACATTTAACAACACAGATCAACAGAAATGTCATAACATAATACATTTTGAAATCATTAAATTTAAAAAAAATTCTACTAGAAACGTGTTATTTCCTGGATCGTTTTTCCCTTTGATGCTAAATCAATTTTCTATATTAGAATGTATTTTTACAAGGGGGTTATCCTTACTGCATGGTATAAGTAAGGTAAATCTATGTTGGTGGGCCATTGTTAATGGACACCTTCATCAACAGACGATAGGTAAAGACGTTCAGGACTTATGGTCACAAAACATCGTCCGCAGTCCCGCTTATAAAGAAAAGGGTTAAAACATTTTAAGCTTTCGCAGTTGCTTGGTACCTAGAAAATAAGAAATAAAAGAAAAGAACGGCAGAAACAGTTATAATAAATACTAGTCCGCGCCTCAAGAATTGTGGAGAAAACACAGGTTGTCCGCCCATCTCGCGGACATCAACGGCTTGTGGGAAGGCGTCAGGTCTGGACCTTCTGCCGTTGATCTCACGCTTGTAAAGCTCTGCGTCGCGCTCGTGGTTGGCATTGTTCAGTTTGGAGTTGATGTTAAGCTTCAGCATTCTGAGCTCATTCAGGGCAGACTGCAGCAGTCCCGTGCCCAGGTCCGTTTCCTGCAGCTGACCAATGTGGTCCTCTACTTTTGCCACCAGTTGTTCGAAATATCTGATCTTCTCATCGAGACTGCCTCGAGCACTGTCCAGTTCGTTACGGACTTCATCGACGAAGGATTTCGTTTTTCTCTCAATCGCCGGAACTTTGTCTCGTAGTCTGAGTTTCTCGCGATTGACCGACGCGTCTTGATAGTTTCTCACTGTGTAAGGACTGTTCTTCAAGGGAATCACTTTATCCAATAAGATGTTCAGCTGTTTTTGCTTCTTATCAGCATCGCTGGTCTTGTTGTTGAAAAGCACGCACCTGTAGTTACAGGATTCAAACAGAGTCTTGATGTCTCCCGTCTGCTCCCGGCACCAATCGTCAAACGTAATCGCCTCGTCCTCTGTGTCCATCTCGAAGTTGTCCCCGTGGGTCATGAGCACAACCCCCCATCTCCTGAAGACGTCATCGCCAAACAGGGACTTGATCATGTCGATTGCATCTTTCTCCTGTTTGGTGAACCTCACCCCGTATTTAATGATGAGGATAAAGGCGGTAATTATTCTTTCAGACAGGCTCAACGCCTGTTCGCTGTTGCCAATGGCTGCGTCTATTCCGCCCATCAGCTCGACCCCAGTGTCACCAATACCAGAACCATCGACAACAGTGATGTTGCCATTGCTGGCTTTGGCGGGTGTCTCTTCCACTGACTGAGCTGTGCTTGATCTGGGCGTGAAGGCGCGGCTGCCGAGAATGGAGTTGCCCGTGGAGCTTTTACCGTTGCCAGTTCTTCCAACTAAGACTAAAGTAGACATTGTTTAGGGAAGTAACTGTGGAGAGAAAAAAGGGGAAACAATTATTGCGTATTTATTTACTTATGCCTTTTTACGCCATTTTTCCCGTCTACAAGCTACAAGAATTGTTCATTCATCTCAGTCCTTTTCTTTCCTTTCCATTCGCTTTTAGGTGTATCCCATAATGTGTGTTTCTGCCTGCAGCTCGCGTCTCCATGCATTCTTAGACCTTCCTCTCTTTGAAGTCAGCTCCCAGGAATCAAATGTTTTCTTTGATAGCACACATTCTGACCTAGCATGTCCAATGCTAGTCCTGGCACCCACTTGGGATCCACCATTAAAGTCAATAGTTTTTTTTTCTAATTACGGGAAGGCTTCCACTTATTCCAGTGCATTTTTTACAAGATTTGATATTCCATTTGTTGGCTGAGTTTAGCTTCATGATCTTTGTCTTGATTGTATTTGTACTGAGTTTGAGCTGTGCTGAAATGGTGGTTACGTCTTTAGTGTTTTTCCTGTATTTATATATAATGGTTGTGGGACAGAAGTGCAATGTCATCTGCAAAGTCTAAGTCATTTAGTTGTTCCCAGTTTGTCCACTGTATCATGTCCCTCTTTTTTTTGTATGTGGATTGTTGCATTATCGAATCAATTGCCAGGATGAATAGGAAGGGGGACAAGAGTCATCATCGTCTTACTCTTGTTTCCACTTTAAAGGCATCAAGGTTAAACTGAAGTCATGTCGCTTCTGTTCGTTTGTCAGAAGTCCTATGTTGGATTTCAGTCTTCTAGCAGCTAACCCTTCCCAGTTTTTCTTTAGTTTTATCTTGAGTCATGCTCAAACCAGATGGTGATCAGATGCAACATCAGCTCCTCTTTTTGATGGTACATCTTGTAGAGACCTTCTCAATTTTCGGCCAATACCTTTGATTGCACTGTTTCTTTTTATGTTTTGTTGTCAGGAGACACCCAAATTACCTTCTGGATGTTCTCATGCTGGAATCCGCTGCCCCCAATAACGAGCTCATTTGCTGCACACACGTCTGTCAGTCTGTCGCCGATTCCATTCATCTCTCCATGGCGCCCCATAATTTCTTCGTGTCCTCTGTTTTCTTTACCAACTTAGCAGTTAGATTTCCCATTATGATAGTTTCATATCTACTTGGAAATCACTCCAGTGTGGCTTGTAGTCTATTGCAGAAGGCTTCTTTTTCATCTCCCTTACCATCGTTGGTGGGTGCATAGCACTGTATTACATTCATATTTATTTTCTTCTTCTTGGTTCGGAAGTTTTGCTGTATTAATTTTGGGACCATGGGCTTCCCATCCTATGAAAGCCCCTTATGCCACCCGTGCCATCATTAAAGAGTCACCTTGTGTGTGTGTAGTATATTCCTTCGCGAGCCTTGTGTATATTTAGAGTTTCTCCCCAGGCCAAAGTTAACTGTCCAGCTTGCGTCCATCTCCTTTCACAGATGCCGTTCAGTGTGAGTTACCCTGTTTTACACACGGTGCTAACATTCCACGAGCTTATGCTTACCGCGTTTAATAGGTGGGCCGTCGGCCTTGAGGCGTCCAGTACAACCAGTCTTTGGCCGCAAGGCTTCATATCTCTTCTCGGAGGAAGTAGAGCATTATTTCCTTTTACTATATAGTATAGTGCGTTCAAAAAAAAAGAAAAGAAATTTAACTAAAAATTTTAACGTGTGAACTTGAGAAAAAAGATTCGAACAAATTTCCGTTCGATCAAATCTCCGTCGATCAATTTTCCGTCGACGAAATTTATTTCGATCGAATTACCGGTAACCCTGCTTCACGCACTAGTGCACATCGAAACTAACTTCCACTTTTAGCTGACCTACCGTCGTCCAGGAGCTGAGGTCAGCATGGTAAACATTCACTGCATTTATCCAAGGCGGATCTACACGCACACACAACGCAACACAACACAACACAACGAGGTGGCAACATATTCAACTATAATATCCCCCGTTTGGCTTCATGCATCTCAGTGGTATAAAAAAGGATATATAACGGTACATCCTTCCAGCTACGCGTTTTTTATTAACCGTGCACACATTGGGGAAAGCTTTAGGTGGTAGAGTATAATGGCAGTTTTATTATTGTGCAAATAAGTAATAGGGCTGCAGTAGCCCCCCCCCCCCAACCCAACCCCCCCCCCCNAACGAGGCACCTGCCTCAAGTGTGAGGCAAACGAGGCACCTGCCTCAAGTGGACCAATGAAAAGTGCACCAAATGGATTAAAAATGAAACTTGATAAGTTTAAAAAAAAACACATCCTACCCCCAATAAGAACCCCCCTAGCCCCGACTCTGCCATTCGCCCCCCCCCCCCACATTTTTTTTCTTCTCATTTTCCAAACAGCCCGATGTCACATAGTCATCAGACGTGGAATAAACTAGCGTTGGAAGGGGAAAAAAAGAAAACAATTACAACTTACTTTTAAAAAAAAACAACTTACCACGTATCAACCTGGGCGTGATAAACGCTTCTGTCAGCGGGACACCTCGCCCGAGCAACACACCTGACGAGCACACTGGTCTGGAAGATGGTCCAAAGTTTTCAAACCCGTACCTAGCTAACGTACCTAGCTAACTAGGCTTACACCAAATCTTGTTAACCGTGTCGACAACGGCTGGCTCGACACGACAACAACGTCAGAAACGTCACATTTCCTGGAAATAGCATGGCGCACTAAATTCCCGGGGAAACAGCGATACTTTCGATTTTAGCCATTGGAGCCGCCCCGTCACGTGAGACTATTTTTAGTTAAGGGGAATTCCCTTTTGTATGCCCGCTAAGAAAACTTGATAAGCTGGTGTTGTTGATTTTCTTGAAAAAAAAACAAAACAAAAAAAACAACTTCTTATGAATAAATCAATTCAAACGGGTTGCGTGTATGTTGTATCCAACTAGACTACAGGCCGGCAGCTCTATGTTAGCTTATTGACCTGCACTGGTAGAAGTTGGCCTGCAACAGCATGTTGGAGTCGAAATGGTTTGTTGACTTGTGGAGTCGAGGGAACTCGGAGCTTAGGAGTGGAAGCTCATCCACTAAAATACATCATAAATGCATGTGAGAAACCACCACTGGATGACGTCAAAGGCCGGATGAGGAGCAATTTACTTAGTCATTAGTCGATGTAATCTACTTTACCTTGGGTCTTTAGCTCCCTCACAGCTTAGCATCTCCTTGATAATTATTTTAGTCGTACGAACTCATTTGTTTATTTTATTTCTCTTAAATCATGTAGCGTATTGAATAGAAGCATGCCATTAAAACATTGCACGGGACCTGTTGACCACCATCTCCCCTCCCCCCCCCCCACAAACCTTTCCACAACCTTACCCCATAATATACGTGAACAGAGTCTGTAACTGTAATGATATTAGAACTGTTTTTTTTTTTTTTTACATGCATCCACGAGGCTGGACTTTGTTATCATGTTGTTATTGTAATGTGTGTTATTGGTCACATTAATTTTAGACTAAACGATATCAGCTGGAGACTGGACTACGTCATTATAGCATTATTGGAACTGTCGCAACGAGACTCACATTGTGATTATGTAACAGGGCCCCCGCCATTTTTACTGGGTACTGTCCTTATGTGACAGGGCATATGTCATTAGTACCCACTGTGTCACAGGGCACGGTCGTTATGAGACTGAGCACTGTCATTATTACTGGGCACTGTCGTTATGAGACTGTGCGCTGTCATCATATGGCTGGGTGCTGCCAATAGGAGAATCGCAACTGTCATTATGACTTAGACACTGTCAATAGGAGACTTGACACTGTCATTATGAGACTTGACACTGTCATTAAGAGACTTGACACTGTCATTATGAGACTTGACACTGTCATTAGGAGACTTGACAATGTCATTATGAGACTAGTTACTGTCATTATGAGACTTGACATTGTCATTATGACTAGACACTGTCATTAGGAGACTTGACACTGTCATTATGAGACTTGACACTATCATTAGGAGACTTGACAATGTCATTATGAGACTAGTTACTGTCATTATGAGACTTGACATTGGCATTATGAGACTAGACACTGTCATATGAGACTTGACATTGTCATTACGAGACTAGACAACGTCATTATGAGACTTGACACTGTCATTATGAGACTAGACGCTGTCATCATGAGACTAGACGCTGTCATGATGACTCTGGACATTGTCTTGAGACTAGACACATCATTAGGAGACTTGACATTGTCATTATGAGACTTGACCTTTTCATTTAAAGACTTGTCACTCTCATTATGACACTGTACACTGTCATTATAATACTGGACAGCCTTATAAGAACTTGCACCGTCTAGCGTTGAGAATAATTCTGAGAACGTTAAGCGGATCATAAAGCAGTTGTTTCTATCGTCTATGTGAATACAAATTGCTTATGTAAATATTTATCGAATGGAAAAAAAATCGTAACCTTGATGTTTAACAATGTATTACTTTAAAAAAAATGTTTGATGCAATGCCACATAGACAGGATCACCGATAGGCTGCTTGATCCACCTACTCATACTTTCATATGGAAAAGTTGTTTTAAAACAAGCATGTACCATAAAAACTATATACCCTTTAAAAATAATTATAGTAATATTATAACAAGTGCATTTAACACACAACCGTGTCATAATAGTGTAGATGTATATCACACCTTTTTTTTACCTGTATCGCGGGGGTCAGCTTTAGCTTATACATTAAAAAAAAAAAAAAATTCCTCTATTTCTTTTCTCTTTATTTCATTTTTCCACTGTACCTATTTGCTAACCGCTTTTGTAAAATAAATTAAGTTTCTATATGTACACACATTAATCATATGATAAACAAAGTATTTCTCATTCTTATTTATCCACACAAAATTAAATTATTTACTTTTAATTAATTTTTTTTTAAAATAATTAATTTGAATTATCAAATTTAAGTCTTTTGATCAGAAATTATCTTTGGATCAAACATTATCTTTGGATCACAAATTATCTTTGGGTCACAAATTATCTTTGGATCACAATAGACACCAGATTAATGATAAACATTAAATCTTCCAAATTGTTTTAAATATTTTCCTCAACCTCTGAATAATCTTAAGAATTTAAGTCAAATCTTTCACGAGCCCATTCACGACGTTGTATATCAAAACAGAAATTTCATTTTTTTTTTAAATTATGTTTTTTATTTATCAATTTTTTAGTAGCCTTATCAACAAACACAATGATAAATATTATCAATTGTGCAAAGAATATTCTTTTCAACAATTTTTCGGGACATTTAATTAGTGGAAGTACAAGACAGAAAAAGTCTCACAAACACTGTCGACACCAAAATTCACCAATCCTCAGATTTTAGATTTTTTTAATTAGCCATTCTTTTGCATGTGAAAAGATAGTTAATAATAAGTTATCGGCTTCTCTGGTTCAAATTATCTTAGGTTTCTAACAATGACGGCAGAAAAAAGTCCCTACTGATTAGATCAGCTTTATTTGCTAAATCTGTCAAACTTTGGAAGCCCCTCTATTAACGTATTATGAATATATAAGATACACAACTTTGTACATTTCTATGACTGAAAAATTGCACAAGAATACAAGAATTTACATAATTTGAATATATATATATATATATATATATATATAATATATATATATTTATGTATTTATTTATTCACTTGATCAGTCAGTCAATGATTCTATGTTACCTCAATGGGATAATCAGTAGGGTTGGTCTGGCGTTAAGGTTTAACATTCAATATTATTATAACTATGACATCTTTCACTTTATCTCTAAGGACAGCATTGACTAGATCAATAATCTGTTAAATTTCATTGAAGATAAAAAAGAAATTCAAAAGCTAAGTCCTTTTCATGATAAAGTACAGATACAGCATTTACTTGACCCTGGCCGAGTGAATCCTGTGTCAGCTTGACCAGCACTGCCTTTGGTCAGTAAGCTGGTACGCTCATCTGGATCGGCTTCTATGTCTGCAAATGACTCGTTTCTTCTTTTCGCATCCAATTCCATTTTTTTCAACGTCAAATTATGCAGTAGCCCTTGAGCGAAGCTGTAACCTTTGTACTTTTCCAACATACGTTTTTCATAATCGTTTACTTCATCAAAACAATGATTCAAAAGTTCTACGCGATCCTTGACTGCTTTCATCGCTTTAATATCGTGAAGTTTTGAATCAATTTTTCTCAGGAAGGACTTAGATTCCGTTTCCGCTTTTGGAAATTCTTGTAACAGACAAATGTCCATCCGGCCCTTTTCTGCTTTTGTGAATTCATGGACGGAATATCGTTTGTCACGTTGAACCAACTCGAGCAGGTCACGCCGTTGTCGTGACAAAACTTGATTGTCTTCTGTTTTGTTATCAAACAACGCCAGTCGATAGTCACATTCTTGGAAAAGACTTCTAATGTCCCCAGCTTGTTCCTTGCACCACTGGTCAAATGTCTTTGGGTCATCCTCTGTGTCCATCTCAAACTGGTCACCACGTGTCATGACGATGATACCAAAACGTCTGAAGATGTCCTTACCAAACAATGACTTGATCAGATCCACGGCGTCCTTCTCCTGTTTGGTGAACCTTGTACCGTAAGTCATAACAAAGATGAGAGCATTGAAACCAGACTCACAGAGTTGGACGGCAGTCTCAGCTTTTCGTATTGTGTCTTGTAGATCTCCATTCATATCAGATCCAGTGTCGCCAATATCTGTTCCATCTACCACAGTGATCTTTGAGCCTTCAATATCAACGGAATATTTCTGTAGTAGACTTGAATCTTCTCCTTTTTTACCAAATACTTGTTCCCCTATGATAGAGTTGGCAGTTAAACTTTTACCACTTCCGGTTCGTCCCACCAACAATAAAACTTGATTATTGACTTGATGGCTTGCTGGTGGTAATGTTTGGAGTGAGAGAGAATAATGTGCATCGTCAATGGCAGTAGATGTATTATTATATGATGGTAGAATGTTATAGGACAGTGGCCGTGAAGGTGAAGGAAGACTTCGATATGGTTGGCTGTCGGTTACATCAACACTATGTCTTTTAAAACCCTTTTCTTCTTCGATCTTTTCACTGCCACCACCTTCTGTTATCCGTAGCTGAGATCTGACGTTTAGAAGCCTTGTCTGTAAAGGTGTCCATAGGGAATTGTAATACTCTGATCCTTTAAATATTTTTTGAACCGTTTCCATTTGTTGTAAATCTGACAGAATATTTGTTAGCATCTTGTGGCGTTGTTTGGTTCCTTTGGTGGACGTAACACGAATTAGTTGTTGGTCAATGTCTTGAAGAAAATATTTGTTTTGTGTCTCTGCTTCTAAAAAAGAATAACCTATTAATAGTTTCTGGCGATCATTGCTGGCCTGGTTAAATTCTTCTAATGAGTATTTATTTGTATCAGGAACAAGATTCAGTAACTTTTGTCTTTGTCTAATAAGAGTATCAATGTTGGATGATTTGTTATTGAAGATCACAATTTTGTTGTCACATTCTTGGAAAAGAATTCTAATATCCCCAGTTTGTTCCTTGCACCACTGGTCAAATGTCTTGGGGTCATCCTCTGTGTCCATCTCAAACTGGTCACCTCGTGTCATGACGATGATACCAAAACGTCTGAAGATGTCCCTACCAAACAATGACTTGATCAGATCCACGGTGTCTTTCTCCTGTTTGGTGAACCTTGTACCGTAAGTCATAACAAAGATGAGAGCATTGAAACCAGACTCACAGAGTTGGACGGCATGCTCAGCTTTTTGTAGTGTGTCTTGTAGATCTCCATTCATATCAGATCCAGTGTCGCCAATACCAGTTCCATCTACAGCCGTGATCTTTAAACCGTCCACTTCTTTAGTTTTTGTCTGTTCAACCCTCCTTTCATCACAGAGTTTGCCTGTACTAAAGAACTTTTCACCAATGACAGAGTTGGCGGTGGAACTTTTGCCATTTCCAGTTCTCCCAACGAAGAGTAAAACAATATCGGCAGCCATCCTTTGTATTCTGGAGAACACAAAATTGTGTCAAATTTCTATTTAATTTCTGTAGAGAACTATTTGTTGTGAATTGTGTGGATACCTAAAGTTTGAGTGTATATTTGTATAATTTTGTATGATTTAACATCATGATATTATACTCACAATTAATTTTATAAGAGTTTCAACTATTTTTTTTTTTTTTTTTTTAAATTTTTGGAAGTTAGTGAATGAAACATTTTCAAAATGACCTGCCATTTTTGAAGTAATTAATTGTTTAAAATGATTTAATAAAGATTTAAGAATTTTTTATATGATTTAACATCATGATATTATACTCACAATTAATTTTATAAGAGTTTCAACTATTTTTTTTTTTTTTTAAATTTTTGGAAGTTAGTGAATGAAACATTTTCACAATGACCTGCCATTTATGAAAGAATTAATTGTTTAAAATGATTTAATGAAGATTTAAGAATGTTTTGAGCAAGCGATAACTTGATATGTTTGGATCACACGATTATTTAAGGATGTTTTGACCAACAAATGACTTGATATTTTTCGACCACGTCATGAAAACAGATTATATTTTAGTGGGTAATTCTAATAAAAAAAATTGTTCTTTATGGATTTTTCTCACATTTTTCATGCGGCAATATATCTGATTGTGACTTTTTAGGAAAAACCTCAAATGTCCTCATATTAAAATATACGCGCCGACTCTGTAACAGACTACATATAAATTGTGATGTCAATCTTGCATGTCAATAATGAACAACAAAAACCGAATAACTGTTTTATTACCTGGTGTTTCCGACTGTTTCAGAAGGTGATTAAAACCGTGTACACTGGATTGCAGAGACCTTAAAACACAAGAAACACTCAAGGAGATTAATAGCTTTCGAATAAACTCGCCACAATACATCACTGTTAAGACACACATGTTACATGGCACTTTGACGAAGTAACAACAACACTAATTATCTATGTATATCTTAACGTCGCGTGATAACTTACAGCACTGGTGAGTGGGGCGAAGAACTGTGATTTCGGCTCTGCCTCGAACTGGAACGTAGTCCGCCTGGATTTTCCAAGAAAATATTTAACGGATCGATCATTCAAACATCGATTTTTAGGTTAATGCAGAATATGTGATACGTTTTAGCACAGTCCGCATGTTATGGTGATGTAGATATCTGAGAAAATTTATTGTTTCAAGCGAACTCATGGGAACTAATCAAGATATCTGACACATACATTGTTTTAGACAGAGTCAGGGTAGCCTATAAAGATAACATAACATGGCTTAGATAACATCATTTGGCTTTAACCAGACGGAGATAGAGCAATTCAGTTTAAAACTGTGCCAATAGGTGTGCTAATAAACAGTAAATTCTAGGAAATTTTTAAAAAAAATATTCATCGCTACGTTATCGTTAATAGTCTTTGCAAATTGTTGACAGTCCATTGATAAATTGATGATGACCAAATAAATGTCTGGTTGATATAGAACGGTGGTTCTTAACTTAGGAGTAGAATGACCCTTACACAGGGGTCGCTTAATACTATCGGGAAAAACATATTCATGAGGTAGCGACAAAAATTGTGTTTATTTTTGGGGTCACCACATCGTGATGAGGAGTATTAAAGGTTCGCGGATTTGGGAAGGGTTGAGAACCACTGAAATAGGGGCAAGCTTTTATATCCCCGTTCACAGCTTTTTTCCGTTTCAACACACACTCAGATACACATACACACACGCACACTCACACAAACACACACACAAACACATACACAAACAAGCACACACAAACGAACACACACACACACACACTGAACTTTCACAGAGAGAGAATACAGTAAAATACAGATTATTCTAATCTTTTACTTTTTATTTAAACATTTTCGGGGTTAACTACTTCATTAATGAATGATTTTTATTTTGAAGTTTTCCATCAACAAAAAATCATTGATAACTTCATTTTACATATTCAATTCAATTGAAAAAAAAATACTTATAATAATTACATTTTCTAAATATTTCTTTAGCAGAGTCAAAAGAAAGGGGGGGGGGGAAGTTAAGTAGAAAGGTCTTTACATTTTTATGCTTAATCAAAACTGGTAATTTTTTAACATCGTATAGCGAAAAATCATTGATAACTTCATTTTACATATTCAATTCAATTGAAAAAAAAAATACTTATAATAATTACATTTTCTAAATATTTCTTTAGCAGAGTCAAAAGAAAGGGGGTGGGGGAAGTTAAGTAGAAAGGTCTTTACATTTTTATGCTTAATCAAAACTGGTAATTTCTTCACATCGTATAGCGAACAGAACGACATATCTATGTTAAGAAGACATGAGTTACTTTTACAAAAGAAAATATATAATTATAAATGTGTGATTTTTATCTGAAGGAAATCGTAAAAAATAGTGTATAAATTTCACAATATTCATTTGGTTTATTTTTGTTATTTTGAATATCAAAATACTATAACTTTCTTCAGCTAAGTTAAAAAGTGCCTCCTCATTAAACTTTAAAACATTTTTTGTTAAAATAAACATAAATTAAATAATTAGGAATCATTTTATCTACAAATAGTATCAAAAAAGGGGAATCTTTAGACTTGTGCAGTTGCAAAAAAATAAATAAATAAATAAATAAAATACCGAAATGTGGGAACAATAGGTAGTAAGCCTTCGGCTTATAATCAGGAACGAACAGTACGATATTTACAATCGACATCCATAAGCCTCTAAGAAGCATTAGCCTCAATTACGAATCATCATATATATCGAGCGGAACGATATTCCACAGATTCAAGTAAAGTAATCGATTTAATGCACCAGTAATATTTTTTTAACTGTTTAAAAATGATGATATTTACAATTTAGTCACTGTTTAATAAAAGTGTATTTTCGTTATAATATTGTACACGTATTGCTTTTGGTGGTACTTGATTTGTTCCGGGGAGCACTTGACTTGCTCCGGGGAGCACTCTCTCCCGAAGAGGTGATATCAACGGCTTTCATCTCTTTTATTTTCATATTCAATGCCATTTTTTTCAACGAGAAATTGTTCAGCAGCCCTTGCGCATAGCTGCAACCTTGAAACTTTTTCAACACATCGTTTTCATATCTTGTTGTTTGATCATAAAGATCAGTAAGATGATTTAACGGTTCTTTAGATTTCTTATGTCCAATTACTGAATCGATCTTTTCCATAAGGGCCTTACTTTCCCTTTCCGTCTCTGAAAACTCGTGAAGCAGACGAATGTCCTTCCGGCCACTTTCAGCGTCATTGAAATCCTTGGAGGAATATCTTTTGTCACGTTGAACAAACCTCAGAAGGACTTCCCGTTGTCGTGACAAAACTTGATTGTCTTTTGTTTTGTTATCAAACAACACCAGTCTGTAGTCACATTCTTGGAAAAGACTTCTAATATCCCCAGTTTGTTCCTGGCACCACTGGTCAAATGTCTTTGGTTCATCCTCTGTGTCCATCTCAAACTGGTCACCACGTGTCATGACGATGATACCAAAACGTCTGAAGATGTCCTTACCAAACAATGACTTGATCAGATCCACGGCGTCTTTCTCCTGTTTGGTGAACCTTGTGCCGTAAGTCAAAACAAAGATGAGAGCGTTGAAACCAGACTCACAGAGTTGGACGGCAGTCTCAGCTTTTCGTATTGTGTCTTGTAAATCTCCATTCATATCAGATCCAGTGTCACCAATATCTGTGCCATCTACAACCGTCATCTTGAATCCGTCCACTTTTTTAGTTTTTGTCTGTTCAACCCTCTTTTCATCATAGAGTTTGCCTGTACTAAAGAACTTTTCACCAATGACAGAGTTGGCGGTAGAACTTTTGCCATTTCCAGTTCTTCCAACGAAGAGTAAGACAATGTCATCAGCCATCCTTTTAGTATTCTGGAGAACAAAATTGTATCAAATTTCCAATTAATTTTTGTAGAGAGCCATATGATTTAAATAGTTTGGATACCCAAGATGCGTATTATTTAATAAATTCGTACTTTTTAACATTATGATTTGATCCTCAGAAATAATGTTACATTAGTTTCAACCTAATGTGCTTGTTTTTTTTGTTGTTGTTGTTGTTGTTTTTTTGTTTTTTTTTATGGAAAATAAGTGAATAAAACATTTGACACAATGGCCTCACATTTATAAAAGTATAGGATTTGAAACGATTTAATGAAGAATTAAGATGTCTTGAGCCAGCGGTGACAAGAGATGTTTTGATCACCACGATCACTTAAGATGTTTTTACCCAAAAATTATATGAACTTTTTCGACCGCGTCATGAAAAAGCATTTTTTTTTTTTTTAGAACATAAATTTAATATAAAGGAATTTTTTAATGGATTTTTCCCTTTATTTTGCGCGGCAACATTTTCGACTATGCGTGTTTAGGAAAACCTCAAACTCCCTTATTTTAAAAATCTAGGCGCTGACTCCGTAACTATGTAAGCAACAGACTAAACATAACGCAAGATTGCAGATCGATAACCCACAACAGAAAAAAATCCGTTTTCTCACCTGATCTTTCCAAATAGTACAGAATGGGATTCAAACCTCAGACGCAGAGACCTTGAACACGACAAACTCTCGAGGAGATTAATAACTGTCGAATAAACTCGCCACAAGGCGTTAATGTTGAGACACAAATTACACTATGACACACTGACACCGACACTCATTCTTCATGTATATATTTTAAAGTCGCGTGATAACTTACAGCGAGCTCTAGTAAGTAAGTCTCATGACAGTGATTTCGGATCTGCCTGGAACTTGAAAGCAGTTCGTCTGGATTTTCAAGAACTCTAAAAATAGTTTACGGGTCGATAATTCAAATATCGATCTTACATTAAGGCAAAACATATGATCTGTTCTAGCACATTCCGCATGTTAAGGCGATGTCGGTGTTTGACAAAGTGATTGATTGTTTTATACGATCTCGTGGGAACTTATAAAGATATCGGAAACTTCATGAGAATCCCAATTAGTGCTAACTATAGGAATTTTATTTTGCGCATCTATTGAACATATAGAAATAGCCATGGTTAAATAGATATAGATTTATTATTTGTCTTTTATGCGCAAATGCTTATGGGCAGAAGATTGTGTGTGTGTGTCGCTATGTGTTGAAGCATTTGCGTATAATTATTGTCTGCTGATTGTACTGTTTAGATCGGTGGTGGGATAACTTCGGTCCGCGGGCAACATCCGATCCACCATCTCAGTTTATTTGGCGGGTGGAGCCAATAGTGGATAGGAAGTGAAAGAATATTTATAGCAAGTGCATAGCAATTAGTATGCAAAGCACAACAGAAATTAAGAAATTTTTAGAGAGTTAGAAAAAATCAATTTATCTTGATAATTTGTTCAAAGCGGTTGGCTGTTCAAAAGGGTTGGCTGTTCAAAGGGGTGGGCTGTTCAAAGGGGTTATGTAGGACGTGTTAAGTAACACTTTCCCCGTGGCGTGAACTCTGGTTGACCCCACATTAGACGGCGTTCGTACTGGGCGTAAACCTATTCCCTTTTATCTTAGCGGTTGTTTTCCACAACTATCAACTTAAAATAACTAAAATATTCTAATAGAATTTTGGGGAAATTTCGATAATTGTCTAGAAAGATAAACAATGTAGAGTGCATTTCTAGAAGAATGGGTTCTACCGACGCATAGATATAACAGGGGATTCAGAGATTCGTAGAGAAAGATGATTCAGATAGATACTTTTAACTTCACGAGACAAGTGTATTATTCTATGTGTACTCAAATGTGTTTATTCGCATTTATCATTGTATTTTATTAATTGGCACATTGTACTAACTGTGCACCGCTACAAGACATCTCATACTATTTCAGTTGATGATTGTAATTATATTTATTTTGTTTTGTAATTATATTAATGCTTAAATAAATCTTATTAATTTTAATTAGTGCTGTTTTGAGTGTCGTATTTTGGCTATTGTATTTCTCTATGGTATCGTCCTTTTGTTGGGCACTGTTTAGAACGAGCCGCAAAATTAAAATAAGAGATTATGTTCTCACGATAGAAGGCAGTGCGTAACACTGTTCAAAAGGGTTGGCTGTTCAAATGGGTTGGCTGTCAAAAGGGGTTAGATGTTCAAAGGGTTTGGCTGTTCAAATGGGTTAGATGTTCAAAGGGGTTGGTTGTTCAAAGGGGTTGAATGTTAAAATAGTTGGCTTTTCAAAGGTGTTACCTGGGATGTTCAAAGGGATTGGCTGTTCAAATTCGCTGGCTGTTTAAAGGGGTAGGCTTTTCAAATAGTTGCCTGTTCAAAGGGGTTGGCTGTTCAAACAGTTGGCTTCTCAGAGTCTAATGTCGTCATTGATTTATTCATCAATTGGCAATACGAGGAAATTAATCTCAATTTATCTAGTGTCAGGAGACCTATAGTTTCAAGAAAGCAAAATATCTCAACCCACATTTCAACATTCCCCACCACACTCCTGTCTCCTTACATCCTCAATCAAACTTCTGTCTCCAGACATTTTACACAAAACTTCTGTCTCCAGACATTTTACACAAAACTTCTGTCTCCAGACATTACCACAAAACTTCTGTCTCCAGACATTTTACACAAAACTTCTGTCTCCAGATATTTTCCACAAACTTCTGTATCCAGACATTTACCACAAAACTTCTGTCTCCAGACATTTTCCACAAACTTCTGTATCCAGACATTTACCACAAAACTTCTGTCTCCAGACATTTACCACAAAACTTCTGTCTCCAGACATTTATCACAAAACTTCTGTCTCCAGACATTTACCACAAAACTTCTGTCTCCAGACATTTTCCACAAACTTCTGTCTCCAGATATTTTCCACAAAACTTCTGTCTTCGACATTTTCCACAAAACTTCTGTCTTCGACATTTTCCAACACTCTTCTGTTAGGGGAATCAGTTATGGGACAGCTAGTCAAAATATTTTTAACTTAGACCTGACACTAAGATTTTCTTAATAAAAAGAAGCGCTTAAGAAATATGCTATTTCTGCAGTTTAATTGTCAGACTTGGACGACTTGCGTGTCGAAATGCAAGACGCATTCAAACTTGTCTCCGACATTCGCCAATGTGAACGCAACTCGTGAATTTGTTAATCACGTCTCAACGATGATTCGTTACTTCATTCAATTTTCATGCTTGACCAAAAAAAAATCTCGTAAACAGTGACATGCTGTTTCAGAAGCGAATGTATGCAAGTTGTGTTTCCTGTCTTGGTCCATCATTTACACGAATTTCTTTACGATGAATTTGTGAAATGCATTAGTTAATTAACGCAATTTTGGTTACAAACCACCATTATTCCATGAAAACGCAAGAAATTTCGATAATATTGTGTTCTCACTCAACTAAATCTCGTTTTTTCCAGACCAGCATCATTGCGAAAACAGACGAATGGAAATAACTGAAATATTTTCGTCTAATAATATTTATTTAAAGCTGAATCAAAAAAAGTTTGGCGAGCCCTCCTGTGCGGCCACAGCCTTACTCCTAACCTGAGTTGTTGTGTATTGACTTCTGCCATGAGCTTTATGTTACCTTATATCTTGATTAATCATAATTTTAAATTATTATTGCAATAAAATTAAACTAAATAAACAACAAGATGTAACGTTTAATTTTTCCAAGACAATTTGAGCTAGAATTGAACCGTAAGATGCACATCTTTAATTAGTATAAGACTTTAAATATGCTTCATTATATATAGTCTAAGCAATTGGAAGCAACCCATGGCGCTCGGGTTGAATATGGCCCACCATGTTAATTATTGTAGCCCAAACGGCTGTATCATAAATGAATTCATGTCTTAATTCGATTAGCGATTATTTAATTTCTTTTCAAAATCTCCAAAATCGACCTTTAAAATATTTTTTCAAAGCACTTTTTGTGTCAGGGACTGTCCACGTATAGCGGTACATCAGGGTGCAACCTCACAGAAAAGATCATTGACATCTTATGAGAAGAAGGGGACTGCAAAGGTTTTGTACTTTTTTGATGCATATTGATTGTAGCACAAAAACTCCATTCCAACACTTATCACACAAATCCCATACACAGCTGGCTTATTGAAATGTCCCCGATGAGGTAAAGTTAAGCCCTTTAACAAGGTTTAACCGTCTTGTTGACATTTCTTTAATGATCTTTACCTGCGTTTTGATGTTTAGTTTCGTATCTAACTAATATTTTTGAGTACCAAGCCTTGTAGAAAAAAAGTTTGATATACCGTTTGGCTGCATTGTGAAATTTTTGGCTGCATTGTGAAATTTAATAAAGCCTGAATACAATGCCTTAGTGTTTTTATTTTTGTTTTTCACTTTTCAGAATATGGACTGAGATGGCTTATGGCTTCGTTACGACGTCTAGCCAGTGTGTCGGCAAGTATGGCGTATACCATGAGCCATATTATGTGAATCAGTCATCAAACATGGAAATACTCATCAATATGAAACTGAAATGGCATTCCCGTCCTTGTAACGAAATAATTGTACTTTACGTGTGTCATAGATTTATGTCCCTAATTTTGTGTGAATGGTGATATTAATGTGGTAAGGTACATAGTCGAATTGAATTCATGTCCAGGCTTGCCCAGACCACAGCAGCTCTAAGTGGGCTAAAGAAAATATGGAATGACAAAAATATATCCCCCCGCACCAAAATCAGGCTGGTGTGCTCATTAGTCCTCTCCATTTTCTTGTATGCCTGTGAGCCCTGGTCATTAACAGCAGAACTTGAAAGGAGAATAAAGGCGATCGAGATGAGATGCTTCAGAAGCATTTTTGGCGTCTACTATAAAGACCACATCTCCAATGAACAGATGAAAGAAAGCATTTGTCAGGCAATTGCTGAGTACGATGACCTCCTGATGATTGTAAATAAGCGCAAACTGAAATGGTGTGGCAACGTGACAAGGAAACAAGGGCTCGCCAAAGAGATCATGCAGGGCACAACGATATTAATTGGACACGAACCATTTGTGTCAATATAATAATATAAGGAAGCTTTAATAATAATTTTACATAATCACAAGTGTACGTCTCGGCACACATGCCTTCGTCAGAACAGAAAAGAGACAATTAAATAAAAAAATTAAATTTACATAATAATTATATACAGATATCAGAGCTAAAAAGGGGGAGACAAAATAGGAGTGGGCGAAAAAAACAGACACAAAAAAAACCCTGATATGATATCCCTGGCTAATGAGTTAAAGATGTTCAATTAGTTTTGATGAGGCACAACGCGAGGAGGGAGGAGAAGAGGAAGAATGAGAATAAGATGGGAGGATAACATCAATGAGTGGACAGGGGTAACACTGGGCGATGATGTGCGTAGTGCAGAAAACAGTGAAGAATGGAGGAGGATAGTTCACATGTCATCTGTGGCGCTCCAACGGTCGAAGGGTTAAGGGACATGATGAGGATGATGATGAATGCACATAGTATCCCCGATGAAAAAAAAATAGACCAGTTTTGGTCCATGAACTCAATCACCTTTCTTTAGTATGTCGAAGGTGAATGGATCTAAATTCGGAATCCTAAAATGCATGGTAATGGCATGGACGTCACGGTGATAAGGGCTGGGGAAAATGCAGCGCGGTCCCCCACCGCCACCCTCATACCCCACCCCGCCCCGAAATGTGCATGTTTCATTTAAATTGATATCTACTGTGGCTCTGCCAGTAATAAATGACTTAACAAGCCGACCTAGTTTTGGTTTTGCACCCCCCAACCCCCAGAAAA